AATAATAAATAAATAAATAAATAAATAAATAAATAAATAAATAAAATTAGAACAAGCAAAAGGAGGAAACACACAGATCAGAATCTGGAAGGGTTTCAAAGGCAAAGCTTCTGTTGTTTCTCAACATTAATATGTGACAATACACATGGTGTATTGACACCCAAGAAAGAGTGGCTGAATTTCAGTGTCCAGAGAATTTATTGAGGCTTCATATGTAAGCATGATTGGTTAATTGCTCACACATCTGAATTCAATCACTAGTCCCCACTCATTTTTAGTTTAGGCTTATATAATGTGGTTCAAAACTGCCATCCTAAATTATATGGTTTATCTTTCTGATGTGGGCAAGACTATTGGCTGTGATCATCCCCACCGTGAATTATTTTGTTAGCATAAACTGACAGATATAGTTCCAGGGGCCAGTCTTGAATAACAAAGCCAGTCCCGTAACTCTGGAAATTCTAAGGATTAAGAGGGAGGTTATAACAGTTGGTGACAAAGGCCAGAATTCTCTTTGTGTGAGGCCAGATCTTTACAAAACACACTCTCCAGCCCGGCTCGGTGGCTCAGCCTATGATCCCGCGCCTTTGGGAGGCTGAGGTGAGTGGATTGCCTGAGCCCGCGAGTTCGAGACCCACTTGGGCAGCGAGACCTCCTCTCTACAATAAATCAAAAAATTAGCCGGGCGTGGTAGCACATGCCTGTAATTCCGGCTACTCGGAAGGCTGAGGCGGAAGGATCGCCAGAGCCCAGCAGGTCTAGGCTGCGGTGGGCCGGGAGCGGCCACTGCCCTCCAGTCTGGGTGACAGAGTGAGACTCCGACTCAAAAAAAATAAAGAAACCCAAGGCTTAGGGAAATGACCTGCCAAGACCTCAGGGCAGGACCCTGACTGGACCTTCAGTCTGATTTGAGCCCTCTGGGTCTCTCCAATCCCTCAGACTTGCAGGTCCCTAAGGTCCCAGAGGACGAATGAGAAGTGACTTCTTCCTCAAACTGGATGGTTCCACTGTCCATCAGCGCAGTGGAGAAGTGAGGCTGCCCAGAGGTATGGGCTGGTCTCACAACCCTGAAGAGAGAGGACCAGCAACCTCTCCCATCCCCATCCCCACTTCCTTGCAGGAAACGTACTGGGATAAAAAGCAGATTCGGTCGTCGAGGTGCAACAGGGGTTGTGGTTAGATTTTCAAACCCAGACACACAATCTCAGGTGACTAGGGGTGCTACACACGTATGCCCTCCTGTTCCTCCCGTCTTGAACTGCCACACCCCCTCCTGAGCAGCTGCCCAGAAACAACTAGGTGAGAGTGGCTTCCCTGGGCTCAGCCAGCACCCTCCTGCAGCCTGGGGCCCCCATTCTCCCTCAGGCTGGGGCAGGCTGGCACAGACGCTCCATACACCTGCGCCAGGATCACTCATGCAAGGCAGAGCTTGAGATTCAGAGTTTCGCTCCTTCCCTGAATCCGTCTCGCGTTCCTCCACGGGGCTGCGGGAACCAAAAGGACTGACAAAGCCCCACCCCAGGGACCGCCCGGAAAGGGAGGCACAAGAGACCCGGCAAAACCAACACTTGGGGGCGAACTTGTGCCTAGGAAGCCCAGTTCTTGGAGGCAGAGCCCCGTCTGCAGGGGTGAGGGGGGCAGAGCCACCTCCTCCCGGTACTTCTGTCCAAGAGGGGGTTCCGAGCAGAGCACGGACTGGAAGGGGCCGGAATCCTGCCAGCTGGGGAAGTGGGGCTGGGAGAGGCGTGCCAGACAGGCTCAAGGCGCAGGGCTTCGGGAGCGGGAAGGCGCAGGAGCACCTGGGTCACACACAGCCCGAGGAGCCAGCCAAACCCTGTCCCGGCGCCGGAGTCCGGTCACCTCGCTGGCCATCTCCCAAGCCCCCGGGGCGCACTCACAGGCCGGCACCAGCTCCAGGAAGAGCGCCTTCTGCATGCGGTCCCGCTGCCGCAGCTGCCGCACGATGTGGCGTTTCCAGCCGGCCGCGGGGGCGCGGGGGACGCCGGGCCTCGCCATGGCGGCTCTCCCGCCTCGGCAGGGCGCGCCTCCCGCGGAGGCTGGCGCCGTCGGCACGGGGCGGGGCCTAGCGGGGACTCCGTGACGTCAGGGGGTGGGCTGCGGCGGGGGAAATCCCCGGGCTGTGCCAAGAGCGTTCTTGGGGGAGAACGGAGCGCAGTATCATGGGAAGCCGCCTCAGAGTCTGCACCGCCGGGGCCCCACCAAAAGCGTTTACCTAAAGCGGGCTCCGAGAATGTTCACCTGTGAGGGCAACCCTGGAGGAACAAGGTCGGGGCCTCCGAGCGACTTCCCCGCGCCTGTTGGTGCGCTCCGGGGCGGCCGCCAGGGCCCATGCTCCTTAACCCCCCAGCGCCCGGGCCGAGTGCAAAAACCGCTTCTGGTCCAGGCTGAGTCTAAGCTGGGGACCTGGAGACCCCCCTCCACCGGACTCTGAGCTGACAGACACAAGGCACCCGCACAGTAACAGCGAGATAAGAAAGCCCAGAAGAGGAGGAGACTGAAGGGAAGAGGCCCCGCTTTCTGGAGATGATGGCATTTGAGTTGGGCTTGTGAGAATGACACAGGAGTTGGCTAAAGGGAGAGAAAAAAGGACTAGGCCGCGGGAAGAAAAAGTGCAGAAGTTTGATGACATAAAAACTCCCAGTGGGTTCGGGGCTGAAAGGACAGGAGGCAGAACCGCCCATATAAGGAGTAAGGTTTAGGAGCTCAGCTGATTGCCGAAAATGTAGGTCCCTGAGAGTAAAGCGATGCTACTGATTTCATCTGGAAGTCCCCGGCTCAGAGAAGAGAAGGGTCTTGGTTGCCTGATGTTCCAAGGGAGTGGGCAGCTGAGCTGGCTAGTAGCCCAAAGCCTGGTTCAGGGGCCCACGGTTCACTCCATTTGGGCGGCCTCTGGAGGTGCAGACATCGTTTCTGGGTACACTTGACAGTGAACTATGGGCTGCAAGGAACTATAATAAAACGGCCATTAGCAAAGGATCTGTCCACAGCTCTGCAGGCACAGGCTGATGTGAGAAAGCAAAGCAGGGATTCACTGGGTACAGCCTCACCCTGGGTTATATATAGCAGCAGGCCCAGCCCTCAGGGAGTGACTACAGACCTGGTCATCCCCAGGAAACAAGAGAGAAATGGGGTGAAGTTGGGGAGCCGTGCAGGCTCCGGAGGTGACAAATTCTGATGGGGATGGGTCAGGGGACTCAAGAAAGCAGTAAAGGCCCATGATACCCCAGGATGGTGTAGCCTGCTCTGTTCTGAAACTACAGTGAACTGGGCTTAATACCCCACAGGTCACTGTCTTAGATTCTCATGACCTTTGCTCATGCTGTGCCTGATGTTTGGAACACCTTCCCCTCTATCAGCCTAGCTCCTACTCATGCATCACCTCCTCCAGGAACCCTGCACGTCCTCTGTCACCACAGTCATCACACAAGCTATATGGGGTTCCCCTTGGGGCAGGACCTGCGTCCTAAGTATCTCTGCACCTCTAGCCCCAGCCTAGGCCCGGCCTGGCTGTTGAAGGGGTGCTTCTTGGAAGGGGGGTAGTAACATTCGCCAGAAGGCATGATCAGGAAAAGGGCAGGGTACCCATGGGAACCCAGGCCCTGTTGGCGACAGTGATGAATTCCCTTTAGTTCAGGCTAACTCTTGGGTGCTTGGGGCTCCCATAAAAGGAACACTGTCTATGAGCACTGGAGGCCATATTAACAGGGCTCTGTCAACTCTAAGGTGCAGAGATGTTGTTTCTCTTAGGTAAGGAGTCATATCGTGGACAGAGTTTGTTAATCTTTTTTTTTTTAACTCACAAAACACTCCTCAGAAGTTTTAAATAATTTTGTCATTTTTTAGTAGTATATGATAAAGAAGTGATTGATTTTGACTAAAAATAGTCATCTATTTTTAGAATATAAAAGTGTGTAATAAAGTTCACTTAAAATACAGTCTTAGTGTTCATAATATATGGAGACAAATTTCTGCTTTTTACGTTTATCTTCACCTTTAATTTATCTTAGATTAATTATGCAGGAAAAACATGATTTGATAACCAATAAATATTTTTAAATTATTATATCCAATTTGGGAACCAAATGTACTTAAGAAAATAGTTTGAAATCTGCACCTGGGTTAGGCAGCTTCCAACAGCCATAGTGATTGTTCAAAAACCTAAATCAGCTCTTGTTCCTCTTAAAACCTTCCCGAGACTTTCCAGCAGAGCCCAAGCAAATGCCAAACCTTTCCTGTGGCCTCCAAGACCCTGCTTGATCTGCTTCTCCCCACATCTCTGGCCTTATTACCTCTTTATGTTCTTTAGCCTTATTCACAGCACTGAAATCGCACTGTCAAGCTTAGACCCAACCTGAATCCTGGAGCCTGCTCCCTCGATCTGTTTCTAAATACAACCATTTCTAGTATTGCTCATGATTCTGAGTGTTGGCTAAGCTCAGCTGTTGATACTCAGAGTCTCTTATGTGATTGCAGTCACAGCCAGGACTGGAGTTCTCTGAAGACTCAACTGGGCTTGTTGCTGATGATGGCTTCCTCATTTAGCTAGCAGGGATGCTATCAGTTGGCTAGAAGATCAGTTGGAGCTGAGAACCAAAGCACTTACAAGTAGCCCCTCCATGTGGCTTGGGCTTCTCAGATCATGGTGGCTGGGTGCTGAAAGGGAGCATCCCAAAACAAGCATTCCAACAGCAAGAAAGCTGCTGGTCTCTTAAGGCTTCAGCCCAGAAACTAGCACCACATCACTTCCTTTTGTGTTCTGTTGACCAAAGCAGTCACAATCCAGCAGCAAAGACCCCAGCTTTCCAGGAAAGGAGTGCCAAAAAAGTTCTGGCCACCTACAACCCACCATATGTGATAACAAGTAAACTTTCAAATCTCAGCGGCTTAACAGAACAAAGGTTTGTTTCTTGCTCACATCCCACAATGGGCAATTATTATGGACTGTTCACCTCCAACACCAACTCAGATTCAAAAACTGTATTCATCCAACATCACCATCATCTCAAAGTTCTTTGATTTCAATTGGCAGGTGGGGCGGGGGGGGAGAAAAGACTCACACTGACACTTAATTGCCTTGCACATGAAGTGACAATGTTCTTCTGCTCACATTCCCATTGGTAGGGGGCCTGAAGGACATCTACTAGGAAGGTTGGGAAATGTAGTCTTCCCATGTTCCCCGAAGATAAATGGGTGTTGACACATCATTGTTGCTGACACATACCCATTTCCTAGTCCTCCTCTAGAAGCATCACTACTAAAACTATAGTGTGTATACTTCCAGAAATATTTATACGTATACATCTAAAACCACAAAAGGTAGCATTTACACAGGATTCCACAATTTGCTTCTTTATGAAACAGCATATTTTCAGTATATCTTAGAGAACTTTCCATATCAGAATATATTGATCCATTTCATTCCTTGGAAGGATGAAAAGCATTTCATTATATAATTGTACTATAATTTATCCAAGCAATTCCCTGTTTATGTTCAACATTTGGGCTATTTCTAATTATTTGCTCTTATAAAGCACTTTCAGTTTTGTACATAGATTTCTACTTAACTGTGTTAATGTATCTGTCAGAAAATTTCTATAAGTAATACTTAGAATACATATATTAAATAGTTATCACATATCCTGGTAATGTCCAGTAAGAAAATGTAATAAAAATGGTCAGACATGGTGGCTCACGCCTACAATCCCAGCACTTTGGGAGACTGAGGTAGGAGGACTGCTTGAGCCCAGGAGTTTGAGACTAGACTGGGCAATATAGCAAGACCTCATCTCTAAAAAAAAGATAAAAATTTAAATTTAAAAAAGAAAATGTAATAAAGATGAAGTCATCTGTAAAAGCAACAAAAATTAATATATGTAGGCATATGCCTGTGAAAAAATTTACGAACTGCAAATGAACATAATATGATGTTTGTATCAATTACATATTTAATGTATCTTAATATAGCTAATTAATTGAAGGACATAAAAGAATACCTGCATGAAAGCAAATATATATCAAGTTTGGGGCTGGGAAGACTCAAATAAAGTTATAATTTACACAAATTATGAATTCAATATATTTCAATCAAAATTCAAAAAGGATATCTTTTTGTATGGAATCTGACAATTTGTTTCTAAAACTTATCTCAGTCATGGGCATCATGGCACTTGCCTGTTACCTCACCACTTTGGGATGCCGGAGCAGAAGGATTGCCTGAGCCCAGAGTTAGAGACCAGCCTGGGCAACATAGCGAGACCTCATCACTACAAAAAAAAAAAAAAAAATCAAAAAATTAGCCTGGTGTAGTGGAGTGCACCTGTAGTCCCAGCTACTCAGAAGGCTGAGATGCAAGGAAAACCAGAGCCCATAACGTTGAGGCTGCAGTAAGCCATGATCGTGCCACTCCATTTCAGCCTGGGTGACGGAATGAGACTGTAAGTCAATAAATAAATAAATCTCAAAAAGGATACCCAAGGAAAAAATATTTTTAAGGAGGAAGACTATAATAATGAAAATGATGTGCTGTGGTTCAGGAATAGGCAAGATTTATGACAGAATAAAGACCAGAAATAGATCCTCCTGTAGGAATTTATTATATGATGAAGGTGATATTTCAAACAATGGAAGTGGGAGACTCTTCAATAAGTTATGTAAAGACAGTTAGTTATCCAGTTAAAGAAGAAAATACTGTATACTTAGATTTCTTACTTCACATCATATGCAAAAGTAAGTTCCAGATGGATTATGTTATATTATGGCTTATAACCATAATAAGTTATAAAGGTATTTGAAATAATAACCATAATTATCTATAAGTTTGGGTAAGGAAGACCTTTCTAAACAACATACAAAACACAAAATTCATAAGGGAAAATAAAAATAAAGCATTTTTCTCCTCAGTTTTATTGAGGAATAATTGGCAAATACAAATTGTATATTTTTTAAGGTGTAAAACATGATGTTTTAGAGCACCAGAGTTTGATTGTGAAATGGTTTCCACAATGAAGCAAATTCACATATCCATCACCTCACATAGTTACCATTTTTTTGTAGTGAGAACATTGAAGATCTACTCTCCTAGCAAACTTCAAGTGCACAATACAGTATTATTAACTATAGTCACCATAAGATAGATAAA